CCATGCTCAGCTAATTTTTTTTTTTGTATTTTTAGTAGAGACGGGGTTTCACCATGTTGGCCAGGCTGGTCTCGATCTCTTGACCTTGTGATCCTCCTGCCTCGGCCTCCCAAAGTGCTGGGATTACAGGTGTGAGCCACCATGCCTGGCCAGCATGAAATAATTTTGTAAGTATCTCATGAAAGGGTATAGGAAGGATGAAATTGGATCTTAATAGTTATGCCTAGGCAAATCGTCTTTAACAGTGGGCATTTAACTGTTTGTTTAGACACTTTAACAATGTCTTATAAGTTATCCTGAAACATTTAAGGTTATGTGGTTACAAGGCCAACTTAATTTTTTAAGTACTATAAGTGTAATATTCGGATTGAGGCATTCATGAAATAATGTTTCAATTAACTTCAGGAACAGCAAAGTGTCTAGCAGAGTGCTAGTAGGTAGTTGGTAAAGGGTAGTTAGATAAATGCGTCCATCGAAAGTTTTCAAATTACAGTAGATTAGAAATTAAGAGAGACTTCTGTTACATATTGAGAGATACATATTTCCCATAAAAATAACTCATGTCTGTAAATCTGAAATTGTTTCATAATATAAAGTTTTTAAAATGCATGCAGGAGTCTCATGATGATAAAGAATCAACAATGTTATTATTAGCCAACTGAGAGGGAGAGGTTGTTGCACCTAGACAACAAATCAAAGGTTTGCATTTGATACAAGCTGAAGAATATGCTTGTATTTATGAAGCAGGTGCCAGAGGAATTCTAGTATTTTTATTTTACAAAGCTACTTTGAACATATTTGAATAGAGATAATCATTTGTAAAATGCATTTTTAAAGTGTGTGTGTGTGTGTGTGTGTGTGTGTATATATATATATTTGTTGTTGTTGTTTTTAAATAGTCCTTGATTTTTCTTAAATCTGGAAGAAACCTGAGATTCTTTCTAGTCCTGGCTCTGGTGTTCCATCCTCTCATTTTTTTTTTTTTGAGACGGAGTCTCGCTCTGTTGCCCAGGCTGGAGTGCAGTGGTGCGATCTCGGCTCACTGCAAGCTCTGCCTCCCGGGTTCACACCATTCTCCTGCCTCAGCCTCCTGAGTAGCTGGGACTACAGGCGCCCATCACCACGCCTGGCTAATTTTTGTTTTGTTTTTTTTTTCAGTAGAGACGGGGTTTCACTGTGTTAGCCAGGATGGTCTCGATCTCCTGACCTCGTGATCCACCCGCCTCGGCCTCCCAAAGTGCTGGGATTACAGGCGTGAGCCACCATGCCCGGCCCCATCCTCTCATTTTAACACTCTTAGACCCAGAGAGATTATGTCCTGCCCTAAATCATAAAACAACTTTATGGGACAGCCATGACTAAAACCCACTCTGCCATGCTCAGCCTAGCCCTCTTTCGATTCTATTACCCTATATTTTCATATCAAAAATAATGCTAGTCTATCTGAATAGGTACACAGTTCATTTTACTAATAGTTGGTACTAATAGTTTGACATGCGTCTACATTGAAAGCATTTAAAAAAGGATATCGAGGTTAAGAAATGGTTGCATGGGCATTAGGCTTTATTTAATTTCCTCATATGGATGGTACAACAGCTTCAACAGTGCACAGTTATAAAGCCAGGACATGTGTTTTCTATTTACTTTTTTGCAGTTCTCACTTGTAATACTTATTTTTTTTCAGAGTCTAAGTAGGAAACTAAATGTTTAATTAAAAAGTATAATAATATCAACATATTTACAATTTATAACAGAAAGAGTAGGAAAGTGATATGAAGGACTTCATTTGTAGCTAACTGCATCTGTGACCTAGGGCAAGTCATGTAACCTTGACTATTTCTGATACCTGCTTACTTAGAATCTTTCAGAGATTCTGCCCAGGACAAATGTATCTATTGTAAAAATGTGTTAATTGATGTGTAACATACAAAGAAAAGCACAAAAATTATAAGGTTAATGAATTATAAAATTAACACACTTGTGTAACCACTACCGTGGTATTTCAAAAGTATATTGAGCCTCTTTGATGATTATAAGCTTTCCTTAATAGAAGCCACTGGACTAGAGATTGTAAATAGGTCATCTGTCTTTTACAACTCTTTTTTTTTTTTTTGAGACAGTCTCGCTCTGTCACCCAGGCTAGAGTGCAGTGGTGCAATCTCAGCTCACTGCAACCTCTGCCTCCCAGGTTCAAGCAATTCTCCTGCCTCAGCCTCCGGAGTAGCTGTGACTACAGGAGTGCGCCACCATGCCTGGCTAATTTTTTAATTTTTAGTAGAGATGGGGTTTCACCATGTTGGTCAGGCTGGTCTCGAACTCCTTACCTCAGGTGATCCACCCACTTCGGCTTCCCAAAGTGCTGGGATTACAGGCATGACCCATAGCACCTGGCCTTTTACAACTCTTTCTAGAGTAAAATTAGCAGAAACAGTGGTAGAGAGAAGGAATTTGGTCAATCACAAAAATTTATTTTGAATAGGTTTATTGGGTTTTTTTTTTTTTTTTTTTTGAGACGGAGTCTCGCTCTGTCGCCCAGGCTGGAGTGCAGTGGCCGGATCTCAGCTCACTGCAAGCTCCGCCTCCCGGATTTACGCCATTCTCCTGCCTCAGCCTCCCGAGTAGCTGGGACTACAGGCGCCCGCCACCTCGCCCGGCTAGTTTTTTGTATTTTTTAGTAGAGACGGGGTTTCACCGTGTTAGCCAGGATGGTCTCGATCTCCTGACCTCGTGATCCGCCCGTCTCGGCCTCCCAAAGTGCTGGGATTACAGGCTTGAGCCACCGCGCCCGGCCCGGTTTATTGGGTTTATATTTAGTCTTTTCTTCTGATGTTTCTCTTCTTCCTCTTGCCCTTTTTCCTTTTTGTCTAGGTCCTGGGAGGAATGGAAAGGGGTCCTACTGACTAACTTTTCTGGGAGTGGTCAGAGGGTTCTTAAGCAGGTCTGTTGATTCTGTAGGATAAGTGAAATTCAATTTTAAAAGGCCTAATTTTAACTTAAAGGATTGGATTACAAATAGACTTTACTTTTTAAAAAGGAAGCATTTTGATCCTAATGTCCATAGGGTATTTTACTTTGGCAAGCTGCATTTGGTGTGTGGGTTGAATCAAAACTGACTAAATTACATAAGATCTGCTTAATAAAAAAGCATTTGAGTCAGTCTTATTAGTTTTGTTGAATACACGTAATATGGCAGAATTCGTTATTGGTTCCATGAAAAGTACCAAGAAAAGATGAAAAGGTGAATTTCTCAGTTGTCCATAATTCTGGAGGCGAATGGAGGCATGGATAAATCCAAAAAGGAAAATAAGCATTTATTTGGCCTTCTCTCTGATGTTTTCAGAATTCATAACATTGCCGGGGGAAATCAAGGCTACCTTACAATCTCAGAGAAGGGCAGGTGTATATAGTTGTTTTCATTCAGCTGCCTCTCTCTCTGTCATCTTGAATTAACTTTTTCTTGATCACACAGATAAAACTCTAGCTCAGTGATTTCCCAAACCTGTCTTCACATTGAAATCACCTGTGGAGCTTGGACAACTGATACCTTTGTCTCTTTCCCTTCCCCAGCAGATTGTGATTTAATTGCCCTGAGAGTATGGCCTGGACTTTGGAATTTTTAAAAGATCCCAAGATGATCTTAAGTGCAGACAAGGCTGGGCGCCATGGCTCACGCCTGTAATCCCAGCACTTTGGGAGGCCAAGGCAGGCCTGAGGTCAGGAGTTCAAGACCAGCCTGACCAACATGGAGAAACCCTGTCTCTACTAAAAATACAAAATTAGCCAGGCATGGTGGTACATGCCTTTACTCCCAGCTACTCGGGAGGCTGAGGCAAGAGAATCGCTTGAACCCGGGAGGCAGAGGTAGCAGTGAGCCAAGATCGTACCATTGCACTCTCGCCTGAGCAACAAGAGTGAAACTCTGACTCAAAAAAAAAAAAGCGCAGACAAGTTTGGGAACCACTGCTAGCTAAAGCAGAACTGGCCACTATGTGATCTGTGACTTTTTTCCCCCCATAAATATTTGGATAAATATTTATAAATAAAGGGAAAAATATTTTGATTTAAGAATCCTGGCTGGGCACAGTTCCAGCACTGTGATTTGATTTAAGAATCCTTAAATCCTTAAATTTGATTTAAGAATCCTGGCTGGGCAGAGTTCCAGGGAAGGTAGGGCAGGAGAATCGTTTGAGGCCAGGAGTCAGAGACCAGCCTGGGCAACATAGCAAGCATAGCAAGACGCTGTTTCTTGGGTTTTTTTTTTTTTTTTTTTTTTTTTCCTTGATACAGAGTCTGGCTCTGTTGCCAGGCTAGAGTGCAGTGGTGCCATCTTGGCTCACTACAACCTCCGCCTCCTGGGTTCAAGTGATTCTCATGCCTCAGCCTCCAGAGTAGCTGGAACTACAGGCGCCTGACACCACACCCGGCTAATTTTTGTATTTTTAGTGGAGACAGGGTTTCACCATGTTGGCCAAGATGATCTCAAACTCCCGACTTCATGTGCTCTACCCTCCTCGGCCTCCCAGAGTGCTGGGATTACAGACGTGAGCCACCAGGCCCCGCCAGCAAGACACCGTTTCTACAAAAAAATAAAAACAAAAAAAGGCCGGGCACAGTGGCTCACGCCTGTAATCTCAGCACTTTGGGAGGCCAAGGAGGGAGGATCATGAGGTCAGGAGATCGAGATAATCCTGGTTAACACGGTGAAACCCTGTCTCTATTAAAAATACAAAAAAATTAGCCAGGCGTGGTGTCAGACACCTGTAGTCCCAGCTACTGGGGGGTCGGGGGAGGTGGTGCTGAGGCAGGAGAATGGTATGAACCAGGAGGCGGAGCTTGCTGTGAGCTGAGATCGCACCACTGCACTCCAACCTGGGCAACAGAGCGAGACTCCGTCTCAAAAAATAAAAAAACAAAAAAGGAAATTGCCAGGCAGTTTATTCAGCAGGATTTCCATGTAGGGTACATTAGTTATTTATTGTTGTGTAACAGATTACCACAAATTTAGCAGTTTAAAACAACATATATTTTTATTATGGCATGAGTGTCCATGGATCAGGAATCGGCATAGCTTAGATGTCTTCTGTTTCAGGGTCTCTCACAGGAGGTAGTCAGGGTGTCAGCCAGGGCTGGTGTCTCATCTTAGCGCTTGGCTGAGGAAGAATCTGTTTCCAAACTAACTTGGTTGGTGACAGAATTCTCTTCCTGAAGGGATGTTGAATTGAGGGGCTTGGTTTCTCACTGGCTGATAGCTGAAGGCTGCTCTGAATTCCTTTCCATGTAGCTTCTTCAACATCACAGAGCTGAGAAGGGAATAGCAAGTCTCCTAGGAAGATGGAAGTCACAATTTTTTTATAATCATGGAGTGGCATCTATCACATTTGCCATAGTCTGTTAGTTAGAAGCAAATCACTAGGCCAGTCCATACTCAGACAGAAGAGATTATACAAAAGCATGAACACCAGGAGGCTGGAGTAATTGGTGGCCATTTTACAAGTCTGTCTACCACAGACTTCTTTAGAAAAAACAATCCTGTAATTTGTATGGCAGGCACCACAAAAGACCTTCAGTAGTCAAAGCAATCCTGAGCAAAAAGAGCAAAGCTGGAGGCAGTACACTTCTTGACTTGAAAGTATACAAAACTATTGTAACCAAAACAGCGTGGCACTGGCATAAAAACAGACACATAGAGCAATGAAACACCATAGAGAACCGAGAAATAAATCTACACATTTACAGCCAACTGATTTTCAACGGAGACACCCAAAACACACATTGATAAAAAGACAGTCTCTTCAATGAATGTGCGGAGAAAACTGGATAGCCACATGGAGAAGAATGAAACTAGACCCCTCTCTCTCACCATATACAAAAATCAACTCAAAATGAGCTAAAGACTTAAATGTAAGACCTGAAACTATGAAACCACTAAAAGAAAACATAGAGGAAACACTTCAGGACATTGGTCTGCGGGAAGATTTTATAGATAAGACCTTAAAAGCACAGGCAACAAAAACAAAAGTTGACAAATAGGATTATATCCAATTAAGAAAGCTTCTGCACAGCAAAGGAAACAGTGAAGAGATAACCTGCAGAATGGGAGAAAATATTTGCAGACTATTCATTTGACAAGGGATTAATATCTGGAATAACCAAGGAACTGAAATATTTCAACAGCAGAAAAACAGTCTGATTTTAAAATTGGGTACTTGATCTGAATAGACATTTCTCCAAAGAAAATGTAAAATTGTCAACCAGTATATGAAAATCTGCTTAACGTCACTCATATCTAGAAATGTAAATCAAAACCATAATGACATACTATTTCACCCCAGTTAAAATAGTGGCTATTACCAAAAAGATGGAGAAAAGGGAACTACTATATACTGTTGATGGGAATGTAAATTAGTACAGCCATTGTGGAAAATAGTTATGGCAGTTCCTCAAAAAGCTAAAAAGTCACTGGACCGGGCACAGTGGCTCACACCTGTAATCCCAGCACTTTGGGAGGCCGAGGCAAGTGGATCACAAGGTCGGGAGTTTGAGACTAGCCTGGCCAAGATGGTGAAACCCCATCTCTACTAAAAATACAAAATTTTGCTGGGCACAGTGGTGGGCGCCTGTAATCCCAGCTACTCGGGAGGCTGAGGCAGGAGAACCTCTTGAACCTGGGAAGTGGAGGTTGCAGTGAGCCGAGATCACGCCACTGTGCTCTAGCCTGGGGCCTGGGCAACAGAGCAAGACTCCGTCTCAAAAAAAAAGCTAAGAAGAGAACTACTATATGATCCAGCAATCCTGCTAATAGGTATATATTCAAAGGAAAGGAAATCAGTATGTCGAAGAGACATCTGCATTCTCATGTTTATTGCAGCACTGTTCACAACAGCAAAGAGAGAGAATCAACCTGTGTCCATCAGTACATGGCTAGATAAAGAAAATGTGGTATATATACACAGTGGAATACTATTCGGCCATAAAAGAATGAAATCTTGTTATTTGTAGCAACAGGCATCAGCCTGGAGGACATTATGTTAAGTGAAATAAGCCAGGCACAGAAAGGTAAATGCCATATGTTCTTATATGTGGAAGCTAAAAAAGTTGATCGCAATAGAAGTAGAGAGTAGAATAGGCCAGGTGTGGTGGCTTACGCCTGTAATCCTAGCACTTTGAGAGGCCAAGGTGGGTGGATCGCTTGAGCCCAGGAATTCGAGGTCAGCCTGGGCAACGTGGCGAAACCCCATCTCTACTAAAAATACGCAAGAAAATTAGCTGGGCGTGGTAGTGCGCGCCTGAAAATCCAGCTACTAGGGAGACTGAGGCACAAGAATCGCTTGAAACCAGGAGGCAGAGGTTGCAGTAAACTGAGATTGTACCACTGCGCTCTATCCTGGGTGACGGAATGAGACTGTCTCCAAAAAAAAAAAAAAAAAAAAAGTTATAAGAAGTAGAGAGTATAACAGTGGTTACTAGAGTCTGGAAAGAGTGGGGGAAGGGTAAAAAGGGGAGACTGGTTAATGGGTACAAAATTATAGCTGGATAGGGCTAATAAGTTCTAGTGTTCTCTAGCACTATAGGATGACTATAAATAAAAAGAATTTATTGTATATTTTCTAATAACTGGAAGAGAGGATGTTGAATGTTCCAACACAAATAATAAATGAGGTGATGGATGTGCTAATTACTCTGATTTGATTATTACACATTGTATACATGTATCAAAATATTATACTGTACCCCACATATATGTACAGTTATGTGTGATTAAAATAATTTTTTTGAAAAAGAAAGCTGAAATAACATGTTTTATATATTTTATATTTAAAATGTAAATATTTCTCATGATGTTAAGTATTCTCAAAAACATTAGTCTCAATGGGAAGCAATATTTGAGTATATTTAAATTGTTTAACCACCTCTGTTGTTGAACCATCAACAGAATATTTTGATGAACTTTTTTTTTTTTTTTTGAGACAGGATCTCACTCTGTTATCCATGCTGGAGTACAGTGGTGCAGTCATGGCTCACTGCAGCCTCAACCTCTCCCAGGTCCAAGCGATCCTCCCACCTCAGCCTGTTGAGTAGCTGAGACCACAGGTGTGCCACCACACCTAGCTTGCTTTATTTATTTATGACAGGATCTCCCTATGTTGCCCAGGCTGGAGTGTAGTGGCACGATCTTGGCTCACTGCAACCTCCACCTCTCGGGTTCAAATGGTTCTTCTGCCTTAGCCTCCTGAATAGCTGGGACTACAGGGACCTGCCACCATGCCCGGCTAATTTTTGTATTTTTAGTAGTGATGGGGTTTCACCATATTGGTCAGGCTGGTCTCCAAGTCCCAACCTCAGGTGATCTGCTTGCCTCAGCCTCCCAAAGTGCTGGGATTATAGGCGTGAGCAACCACATTCAGCCTAAATTTTACTTTCGTAGAGATGGAATCTCACTGTGTTGTCCAAGCTGCGATGAACTTCTTCAGGTTTTTTTTTTTTTTAAACAGAGTTTCTCTCTGTCACCCAGGCTGGAGTGCAGTGGCGCCATCTCGGTTCATTGCAGCTTCCGCCTCCCGGGTTCAGGCAGTTCTCCTGCCTCTCCAGCTACTGTAATCCCCTAGTAGCTGGGATTACAGGTGTGCACCACCACACCCAGCTCATTTTTTGTATTTTTGGTAGAGACGGGGTTTCACAATGTTGGCCAGGCTGGTCTCTCGAACTTCTGACCTCAAGGGATCCTCCCGCCTCAACCTTCTAAAGTGCTGGGATTACGAGTGTGAGCCACTGCCCCCATCAGTGATGAACTTCTTTGAATATAAATCTTTGACCACATTTTCAGTTATTTCATTGGGTTAAACTCCTAGATTGTTAAGCTTATGGTTAAGATGTTAAGGGTGATTCTGTTTGCTTATGTTTAAGCAAAATGTAAATGTTAATCTATTTCATTGTACCATTGCCACAATTATTTTTTTTTTAAATCTTCTAATTTGATGAAAAAAGACACATTTCACTTTCTCTTTTTTTCTGTTTTTTTTTTTTGTTTTTTTTGTTTTTTTGTTTTTTAGACCAAGTCTTGCTCTGTCACTCAGGCTGGAGTACAGTGTCACAATAGTGGCTCACTGCGACCTCTGCCTCTGGGTTCATGTGATTCTCCTGCCTCAGTCTCCCGAGCAGCTGGGATTATGGGTGCGGGCCACCACACCCCGTTAATTTTTGTATTTTTAGTAGAGATGAGGTTTCACCGTATTACCCAGGCTGGTCTTGAACTCCTGACCTCAAGTGATGCATTTGCCTCGGCCTTCTAAAGTGCTGGGATTACAGGTGTGAGCCATCATGCCTGGCCTGTTTTTCTTTGATTACTTATGAAGTGTAGCAAGCTTTTTGATCATTGATTATGTTTATTTCTGATTTTATAAATCGCTGGGCATGGTGGCTCACGCTTATAATCCCAGCACTTTTTGGAGGCTGAGGTGAGTGGATCACTTGAGCCCAGGAGTTGGAAACCAGTCTGGGCAACATGATAAAACCCCGTCTCTACAAAAAATACGAAAATTAGCCGAGCATGGTGGTGTGTGCCTGTAGGCCCAGCTACTTGGGAGGCTGAGGTGGGAGGATCACTTGGGCCCAGCTACTCAGGAGGCTGAAGTGAGAGGATCACTTGGGCCTGGTGGGTCAAGGCTGCATTGAGCTGGAAATTGTGCCACTGTCCTTTAGCCTGGGCAGCAGGGTGAGACCCTGACTCAACAAACTGAAACAAACAAAAATATATAATTCTCAACTTGCATTTTGCCTTTCAATTCATGTGCATTTCGACCTGCAAAAATTTTAAAATAATATAATTATATAATTAAACCTGTATTTTGCTTAGTTCTTTCACAGTTCATGAACTGATATATTTTAAAAGGTAACCAATATATGATCATAGTATTACTTCATTTTTATATTTTCACCAATTTTTTTTTTTTTTTTTTTTTTTTTGAGATGGAGCCTTGCTGTGTTGCCAGGCTGGAGTACAGTGGTGCGATCTCGGCTCACTGCAACCTCCAACTCCCTGGTTCAAGCGATTCTTCTGCCTTAGCCTGCCGAGTAGCTGGGATTACAGGCATGCACCACCACGCCCAGCTAATTTTTGTATTTTTAGTAGAGACAGGCTTTCGCCATGTTGGCCAGGATGGTCTCGATCTCCTGACCTCATGATCCGCCCGCCTCGGCCTCCCAAAATGCTGAGATTACAGGCGTGAGCTACTGTGCCCAGGCTAATTTTGTATTTTTAGTAGAGATGAGGTTTCTCCGTGTTGGCCAGGCTGGTCTTGTACTCCTGAACTCAGGTGATCTGCCTGCCTCGGCCTCCCAAAGTGCTGGGATTATAGGCGTGAGCCACCGCACCCGGCCTATGAATGATTTGTTAATGTGTTATTGAATTTGATTTGCAGTATTTTGTTGAGTATTTTTGCATCGGTGTTTATCATCTTTTTTTGATGTTTCTTTTTGGTATCAGGGTAATATTGGCCTTGTAGAATGAGTTTGGAACTATTCTCTTCACTATTTTTTGGAATAGGTTGAGTAGGATTGGTATTAGTTCTTCCTTAAATGTTTGGTAGAATTCAGCAGTGAAGCCATTGGATCCCAGGCTTCTTTTTTATTACAGCTTTTCCTTATGGTTTTGATCTTGTTTTTTGTTTTGTTTTGTTTTGTTTTTGAGATGGAGTCTCACTCTGTCGCCGAGGCTGGAGTGCATCGGTGTAATACCGGCTCACTGCAACCTCCGCCTCCTGGGTTCAAGTGATTCTCCTGCCTCAGCCTCCCGAGTAGAGGGGACTGCAGGCGTGTGCCACCATGCCTGGCTAACTTTTGTATTTTTAGTAGAGACAGGGTTTCACCTGATCTTGTTACTTGTTACTGGTCTGTTCAGGTTTTGGATTTTTTCATGGTTAATGTTAGTAGGTTTTTTCTAGGTTTTCCAATTTATTGGCATATAGTTGCTTATAGTAGCCTCTAACAATCCTTTGAATTTCTGAAGTATCAGTTGTAATGTCTCCTTTTTCATCTCTGATTTTATTTATTTGGGTCTTCTCTTTTTGTTAGTTTGGTTAAAGGTTGTCAATTTTGTTTATCTTTTCATATCTTGAGATATGAGTAGTTGATACACTACAATTACAGTGTTATTATATTCTGTTTCTCTGTGTACTTACTATTACCAGTGAGTTTTGTACCTTCAGATGATTTTTATTTCTCATTAACATCTTTTGCTTTCAGATTGAAGAATTCCGTTTAGCATTTCTTGTAGGACAGTTCTGATGTTGATGAAATCCCTCAGCTTTTGTTTGGGAAAGTCTTTATTTCTCCTTCATGTTTGTAGGATATTTTCGCTGGATATACTATTCTAGAGTAAATGTTTTTTTTTCCTTTTGCATTTGAAATATGTCATACCACTCTCTCCTGGCCTGTAGGATCTCCACTAAAAAGTCCGCTGCCAGATGTATTGGAGCTCCATTGTATTTTTTAAAATTGTTATTTGTTTCTATTGTCTTGCTGCTTTTAGGATCCTTTCTTTATCATTGACCTTTGGGAGTTTGATTATTAAATGTCTTGAAGTAGTACTCTTTGGGTTAAACTGGCTTGCATTCTATAACTTCCTTGTACTTGAATATTGATATCTTTCTCTAGGTTTGGGAAATTCTCTGTTATTATTCATTTGAATAAACTTTCTGCCCCCTCTCTCTCTCTACCTCATCTTTAAGGCCAATAACTCTTAGATTTGCCCTTTTGAGGTTATTTTGTATTAATAGATCTTGTAGATGTGCTTCATTCTTTTGTCTCCTCTGACTTTGTATTTTCAAAGAGGCTGTCTTCAAGCTCACCATTTTTTTCTTCTTCTTGATCAATTCTGCTGGTAAGAGATTGATACATTCTTTAGTATGTCAGTTGCATTTTCAACTCCAGAATTTCTGCTTGGTTATTTTTAATTATTTCCGTCCCTTTGTTAAATTTATTTGACAGGATTCTGAATTCCTTCTGTGTGCTCTCTTGAATTTCATTGAATTTCCTCTAAACAGCTATTTTGAATTATCTGTCTGAAAGGTCACATATCTCTGTCTCTCTGGAATTAGTCTCTGGTACCATATTTAGTTCATTTGGTGAGGTTATGTTTTCTTGGATTACCTTGATGTTTGTGGATGTTTGTTGGTGTCTAGGCATTGGAGAGTTAGGTATTTATTATAGTCTTTACAGTCTGGGCTTGTTTTTACCCATCTTTCTTGCGAAGGCTTCCCAAGTGTCTGAAGGGACTTGAGTGTTGTGATCTCAGTCTCTCGTCACTGCATTTGTATGTACGTTAGATGGCACCCCAAGTGTTGTAAAACTGTAGCTCTTGCAGACTCATAGAGGTACCACCTCGGTGGTCTTAGGTAAAATCCAGAATGATTCTCTGGATTACCAGGCAGAGACTCTTGTTCTCTTCTCTTGCTCTCTCCTAAACAATTGGAATTTGTCTGTCTCTGCTGAGCTACCTGGAGCTAGGGGAGAGGTTACACAAGCACCCCTGTGGCCACCCCACCATTGGGACTACACTGGGTCAGACCTGAAGTCAGCACAGCATTGGGTCTCTTGCCCAAGGCCTGCAGTAACCACCACCTGTGTTATTCACTCAAGGCCCTAGGGCTTTACAGTTGGCAAGTGGCAAAGCCAGCCATGCTGTATCCTTCCCTTCAGGGTGGCAAGTTCTCTCCGTCCCTGGGTGGGTCCAGAGATGTTTGGAAGCCAGGGCCTGGAGTCGGAAACCTTAGGAATCTATCTAGTGCTTTGTTCTGCTGCAGCTGAGCTAGCACCCAAGTAACAAGACAAAGTCCTTCCCATTTTTTTTTGTCCTCTTTCTGCAAACAGAGGCATCTCTCCAAACAGAGGCATCTCTCCCTGTGGCCACCACCCCAGACCTGCGGCAGGTACCACCTGGCTACTGCCAGTGTTCACTCAAGGCCCGAGGGCTCTTGATTTAGGTTGTGATGAATGCTGCCAGGCCTAGGACTCTCCCTTCAGTACAATGGGCTCTTGTCTGGCCCAGGACAGGCCCAGAGCCTCTTTGAAAATACAATCAGAGGATACAAAAGAAAAAAGAATAAAAAAGAATGAAAATGCCATCCAAGAACCAAGTCCTAGAGTTGGGGACCCCGAGAACCTGCTTAGTGCTCTACATAACCCAAATAGTAAAGGGAACTTTGTCTTGTAGCTTAGTGTCTCCGGTACCTAAGCTGGAAACTCTGTTTCCCAGGCTGGAGTACAACGGTGTGATCTTGGCTCACTGCAGCTGCCGCCTCCCAGGTTCAGGTTCAAGCAATTCTTCTGTCTCGGCCTCCTGAGTAGCTGGGACTACAGGCATACACCACCACGTCCAGCTAATTTTTGCATTTTTAGTAGAGACAGGGTTTCACCATGTTGGCCAGGCTGGTCTTGAACTCCTGACCTCAGGTTATCCACCCACCTCGGCCTCCCAAAGTGCTGGGATTATAGACATGAGCCACCATACCCGGCCCCTTTACTCTGCTTTCTTTTCTCAAGCAGAAGGAGTCTCTCCCTGTAGCCACCACAGCTGGGAATGTGCTGGGTCATACCTGCAGACAGCATGTCTCAGTCTCATCCACGGCCCCACGGCAAATACCACCTGGCTACCAGTGCTGATTATTTGGGGCCTCATGGGTCTTTAGTCAGCGGGTGATGAATGCTGCCAGGGCTGAATCCTTCCTTTCAAGGCAGTGAGTTCCTTTCTGGCCCAGAGTATGTCTAGAAATGTCATTCAGGAGCCAGGGTCTAGAGTGGGGACTTCAGAACGCTGCCTTCTCCTACTGTGGCTGAGCTGGTATCCAAGTTGCAAGACAAAGTCCTCTTTACTCTTCCCTCTCCTCTCCTCAAGCAGAGAGAAGGGGTCTTTCCCAGAGCTGTCAGCTGTGCTGCCTGGGTTTTGGGAAGGGGTGGCACGAGCTCTCCCTTGGCCATCCTGGCTGATGTCTCACTAGATTATGTGTCCCCGAAATCTACTGGCTCTGAGCCCAGCACAGCATCAGGACTTGCCCAGGATTTGCAGTCCTTGTGGCTGAGACTACCTTTCAGGTTTATTTAGGACCCCAGAGCACTTTAACCCACGGCAGCAAGGGTTGCTGGAACTCAGGTTCTAGCCACTGAAATGAATGATTCCCCTCTGGCTAGGTCCGGTCTAAAATGCTCCCTCCATGGGTACGTGGGTAGCGGCTGAGTTTTGCCCAGGGTTACTTTCTGCTGTGACAGAGTAGCACTGAGTTCCAATGCAAAATTCCACAGTAACTGTGCTCTCCCTGCTTCAAGTGCACAAATTCTGTCTCCATGCCACACAGCCACTGCCGGGGGATAGGGGAAGGGTGGTATTGGCAATTCAAGTTTTTCCTACCCTCTGCAATGCCTCTTTCAGTGATAGGGAGTTAAAACCAGGTCCTGGGATCACTTACCTGACTTTTGGTTGTTTTCAAGGTGCCTTTTGTGTGGATAGTTGGTCAATTTGTTGTTCCTGTGGGAAGGATGATCAGTGGATGCTTCTATTTGGCCATCTTGCTCCTCCTTCTCCTTCCTTGGGGCAAATTCTTTAGCTACATTGCCCACCTACTCAGTTACCTCATTTAAAGGAAAAATAAATAATGTTGGAAGTGTAGTTCTAAACTTTGGCTGTACTCTTCACAATAGCAAAGATGTGGAATCAACCTCCATGCCCATCGGTGGGCTGGATAAAGAAAATGTGGTACATATACACCATGGATTACCATGCAGCCGTAAAAAAAGAATGAAATTATACCATTTGCAGCAATAGGGATGCAGCTAGAGGCCATAAAAAAAGAAGAAATTATGCCTTTTGCAGCAATAGGGATGTAGCTAGAGGCCATCATCCTAAGCAAGTTAATTCAGGAACAGAAAACCAAATACTGCATTTTCTCAGTTATAAGTAGGAGCTAAACATTGAGTACACAAGGACGTAAAGATGAGAACAATAGACACTGGGGACTATTGGGGGAGGGAGGGAGAGAGGTAAGGATTGAAAAACTGTTGGGTACCTGGGTGATAGGATCATTCGTACACCAAACCCCAGTGATACTCAATTTACCAATTTAACAAACCTGCACATGTATCCCCTGAACCTAAAGTAAAAGTTGAAAAAATAATAATAAAATAAACTTAGGTTGCATATTAGAATTGCCTGTTTAAATACCCAAAGCTCAGGCTATAGTGCAGACCTGGTTGGATCCTGGCATTATTTTTCTTAAGTTTCCCAAATGATTACAATGTAGAGCCAAGATTGAGAGCCAGTGAAGTTCTTTCAAAGCACATACCCATTTGATCTTGGGTATTCTGACTTTAGTCATTTCAGAGTAGCTAGGGAAGTTCTAATTGGGGGGTATTGGCTTGATAGGCCGAATCTCCTTCATTCTCATATTTCTACTAATAGTGTGCTGTGTATATACAGTGGGGTAAAATCACCCTGGTGAGAAGCAAGTTTGGTATATGGTGCAAGAAGCACTGAACTTGAGGTTGGAAGATCAGGATCTAGTCCTGATCCTGCTACAATCTTTGTAACTTTAGTCAAGTTACAAAACCACATACTTTATTTCAGGCTGGGTGCTGCTGCTTATGCCTGTAATCCCAGCACTTTGGGAGGCGGGGTGGGCAGATAACTTGAGGTCAGGAGTCCAAGACCAGCCTGGCCAACATGGCAAAACCCTGTCTCTATGAAAAAGAGAGAAATAAATAAAAAGACAATCTGTGTTTCCATTTTCCTTATCTGAAAGAGTGGGGAAAATAAGACTAATAGTCTGTAAATTCCTTTCTAGCTCTAAAACTTCAAGTTTGTGAGCCAGTGGGGATAGGGGAGAGGCAGGTGGACTTCGTGTGCCTGAAGAATAGGTGAGCAAGAGGAGCCACAACACTGATGTGATAGGACATTGTTGAAGGAGCGAACAGTGGGATAAGAGGAAAGAAACTGTGTGAATAAGGAGGTTTATTACCTGGAGGTAAGGGGGTGGGATGGGATTAGATAGGGAAAAGTAGGAGAGACTGGCCTAAGGGAATACAGAGTTGGGGATGGTGGCGGTAGCTTGGCACCTGGTAATGATGTGGTCTAGGTTCTTATCATGAGTCAAATGGCTTATGGGGAAATGTGGCCAGAGGAGCCCCCTTCAAAAAAGGAGATAAAAAGCAGGAGATATTTTTGTCGTTGCATATCTGAGATGAGGTAAGAGCAGAAATATTGATACTAAGGGTTTAAGAGGTTTTATTGATCGCTAACTTTTGTTTTCAATAGGTAATATATTCACATGATTCAAAAAGAAAAACATTATTTGAAAAGATACACAGTCAAAAGTCTTGATCTCACCCTCAGCTCCCTGGACCTTCTCTATGCTCTTTTGCTTCCAACTTTTTTTTTTTTTTTTTTTTTTGAGACGGGAGTCTCGCTCTGTTGCCCAGGCTGGAAAGCAGTGGAATTTCAGCTAGCTGGAATGCTGATGATGGCACACTGCAGCCTCAGTCTCCTCAGCTCAAGTGATCCTCCCAATTCAGTCTCCTGAGTAGCTGGGACTACAAAACCCAGTCGATTTTTTATTCTTTTTTTTTTTTTTAGTTGAAACAATATCTCACTATGTTGCCTGGGCTGGTCTCGAACTCATAGGCTCAGGCTGGAGTGCAGTGGCACAATCATGACTCGCTGTAACCTCTGCCTCCCGGGCTCAAGTGATTCTCCCACCTCAGCCTTCTGAGTAGCTGGGACTACAGGCACACGGTACCACACCTACTAATTTTTTGTATTTTTTTGTAGAGGCAGATTTCACCATGTTGCCCAGGCTGATCTCGAATTCCTGAGCTCAAGCAGTCTGCCCTCAGCACCGCCAAAGTGATGGGATTACAAGCATGAGCTGCCTGGTTCCAACTTTTTTAATATGAAAAATTTCAGGTTGGGTGCGGTGGCTCACACCTATAATCCCAGCACTTTGGGAGGCCGAGGCGGGAGGATTGCTTGAGCCTAGGAGTTTGAGATTAGGAGTTTGAGATAAGCCTTGGCAACATAGGGAGACCCTATCTCTACAAATAATCAACAGATTAGCTGGGCATGATTGCGTGCACCTGTAGTCCCAGCTACTCTGGGGCTGAAGTGGGAGGTTACTTGAGCCCAGGAGTTTGAAGCTGCAGTGAGCTGTGATCATACCACGACACTCTAGCCTAGGTGACAGAGCAAGACTGTCTCAAAAAAAAAAAAAAAAATTCAAACATATACAAAAGTTGAAACAATAATACATTGTACACCATGTAGTTTAAACAAGTGTTAACATTTTGCCATTTTGGGGCCAATATCTACCTTTGTTGAATAATTTGAAAACAAGCTGCAGACATAATGATACTTTATCCCTGTGCTTTATGCATCTTCTAATAATAAAGAATATTCTCTACCTAATTACAAATAACATTACCACACCCAAGAAAATTAAAAATAATGCCCTAATATCTTCTACTCAGTTCACATTCAGTTTCCCCCAGCTGCCTGAAAAATTATTTTATGACTCTTTTCTTCAAACCAGATCGGAGTAACATTTCTGCATTGCATTTGGTTGTTATGACTCTCAGTCTCTTTTAATCTATAACTCTATCCTTCCCCTATTTTTTCCCCCAGGGTTTTGGCTTTTTGAAGAGACCAGACCAGTTTTATTATAGCAAGTTCCATATTCTAGTTCTGTCAGATTATGTTTTCTTCTGATTTTTCTTGTTGCTCTATCTCTTGAATTTCCTATGAAGGAGAAACTACGTTTGAAGACTTGTTTAGACCCAGGTTAGGCACTTTTGGTAATAATACATCATAACTTAGGCTGTGTACTTAAAGTTACATCACATCAGGAGGCATAAATGAAGAGTCTCATTCTGATTGTTGCTGAGTTTGATCACTAGGTTAAGCTGGCGACTGTCACATCTTCCCGTTATAATGGTACTCAGTTTTCCCCTTTGCAATTAGGAAGTAATCTCTGGAATGATCCTTTGGCACTGTGGTAACCTTCTGTTTTCCAACAATTTTCGATTATGCAAAAATGATTTTTAGCAACCTGTGATCATCCTTGCCTGAATCATTTATTTCATTTGGGGTTGCACAATGGTGATTTTGAAATTCTTTCTTTCCTTCTACATTTATTGACTGGTAGTCTTCTGTAAAAGAGAGCTTTGCTGCTCTACTGAGGATGAACCCTTCTAAAAAGGCTGTAAATTGCTTAATTCTTTCTCTTTAATTGTCAGTCTTCAGAATAAGTCATTAACGTCATAGGTACCTCCAATGATGGGAAGAGGTGTTTTTGTTTTTGTTTTTTTTGGTTTGTTTGTTTTTCTGAGAAGGAGTCTCACTCTGTTGCCCAGGCTGAAGTGCAGTGGCATGATCTCGGCTCACTGCAAGCTCCCCCTCCCGGGTTCACGCCATTCTCCTATCTCAGCCTCCCGAGTAGCTGGGACTACAAGCGCCTGCCACCACGCCCAGCTAATTTTTTGTATTTTTAGTAGAGACGGGGTTTCACCGTGGTCTTGATCTCCTGACCTTGTGATCTGCCCGCCTTGGCCTCCCGAAGTGCTGGGATTACAGGCGTTTGCCACCGCGCCCGGCTGAAGAGGTGTTTTTTTGTTTTTTCACTCTCTGAGTTATTGCTGGGGATTCATGGATTCTTACTTATTCATGATATAATCAATTTTAGTAATTTCCCATTCTCTTTTGATACTCAAATTGACTCAAATTTGCCCAGTGGAAAACCTTAAAACTGGCTCCTGTGTTCTTGTAACACACTCCTCATTAGTATGAGTGCTTCCTTCCCTCTGGTATAACATCGTTTTTTAAATTCACCTTGTAAGATAACCATTTTTATTGGTCTCATATTTCTTTCTAGAGTATTTTAACACTAGCATATGTAAAATATTTTTTCTCCCCTTTCCCCCAAAAAGGTAGCGCAATGTACTCAACGGTTTACTCTGTTTTTTTCTTTCAAAAATATACCTTGGAGATCTTTTTGTGTCAGTACACAGACAGCATTCTCCTTCTTGCTGTGTGTTTTTTTGTTTTTTGTTTTTTGCATTTCATTTGCATGGATGTTCTGTAATTTAAATCAGTCCCTATTGATGGACATCTGGGTAATTTCCTAACTTTTGCTATTACAAGCAATGCTGTAGTGAATAACACTATACATATGTCATCTTGTATGGTGATAAGTGTATCTGTAGGATTGCTATCCAGAAGTGGAATTGCTAGGTTAATGGTTTATGTAATAGTAATTTTTTTTTAAGAGATGAAGTTTCATTGTGTTGCTCAGACTGGAGTGCAGTGGCTATTTACAGATGCTATTATAGCTCACCACAGCCTTGAACTCCTGGCCTCAGGCAGTTCTCCTGTCTTACCCCTCAAGTACCCAGGTTTACAGGTGTGTGCCAGCACACCCAGCTTGTAATTGTGATTTTGAAAGACATTACCTAATTGCCGGTGTTGTACCACTTTTCTCTAATACCAGCAAAGAATAAGAGTGCCTGTTTCACCATAACCTTGCTGGAACAGTGCATTATCAAATTTTTGGAATTTTGCTAATCTGATGAGTGAAAAATTGTTTTTT